ATATGAAAAATGAACATTGTTGCATTCAATATCATTCACTCTAAATTCACAATGTTCATTTATGAAATGTACAGAAAATCTGCTTTATAAGGCCTCATAAAAGTCAAACTAATACATCTGAAGTGTCTCACATTAATATTAGCATAATTTCTTAGAATGACTACTTTCTATATCTAAATCTATATAAAATGAAGTGAAAAACACAGTTGCTATGACAACGATGTAAAAAAAAATCTAAAAATAAGTTAAAATGTCTTAAAATAAGTGTGTTTGCTCTTAATCTGAGCAGGTAAATAAGACGATTAGCCAATAGATTTAGTATTTTGGCCCTTAAAATAAGACAATTAGATAATATGCACTTTGAATAAGGGAGTGCAGTTGTTTTTTGTTTTAGATGTAAAGTGTCTTATTTCATTGGGAAAGTGTTTCAGTTACCTGCGCAATTCAAGAAAAAAATGCACTAATTTAAGAAAAAATGACTTACTCAGATTTAATTTTTTTTTTACTGTACAGAATAAATCAAATATCAACAATGAACAATCATGTTGCTCCTCGTTCTACCAGTTATGGCTCTGATCCCCGTTTGGGCCTGTCGACCCTTATTGATTATATGATAGATTCCTGATCAATCAGAAAGGAATCCAACTGACCTCCTTTCTATTGAAGATTATATTGTGTTACCCGGTTACCTAAAGTAGACTAAGAGTCAGTAATTAATTTAAATCATTAGTAAAAGTCACCCTGGTTGTTATGAATTTAAAAAATGGCTCAGGATTCAAATAAAAATAGCATGAAACAACATATCAATGTAACAATTGATGAAGCAGGATAACAAACTGTCTCCAATTTGGCTCTGCATTTCCCAAACTCCACATTGCATAAAAACCAAAGCTCTAAAATGGTGCCAAATGACAAAGGGAAGAGCTAGCCGCCACCTGTTTTAAATACATCAGCAAGTATTTCAATTGGAGCCGTAAAGCAGTGTTGACTCTCTACAGCTCAGGAAGGCCAGGCATGGGGAACTGCCCAGCGAAAGCCTCCACTTCAGCCCTGATCTCAGCCACCTGCTGCTGGAACTTCTCCCCCCGAGCCAACGCCTGGAGGAACTCCTTCAGGGTGGCTTTTGAGTCCAAACTTCTCTGAACCTCCAAATTTAGCTCTATACCTGCAAAGGAAAGCACAGATTTTTTCTCTTGCTGAGATAAAATATGTATTCTGGTGACTAATGCATATATTTTCACAGCTTACCTCTATGAATGAATTCAGCCACTTTCTTGAAGTCTTCCTCTATCAAACCTCTGGAAGTCAGAGCTGGAGTCCCAAACCTTAGACCATTTGGAAGCGAATCACTCTTAGCACCTGTTGAAAAAAATATGCTTAATGTATACAAGGGAGCATTTTTTTAAATCTAATCTTAAAATTATATGTTTAGGGGGGCAAAAAGCAGATGCCTCCCTACAGTAAACAAGGGTGAAGGGAAGGTCATGAGAGATCATGAGTTCACACAGCCTCCTTCATGCCGTGGCTAAAATGTATGTCCTTGATGAACTGAAGGGTTTTTCTTGGTAATTACCAGATGTTCAAGTGTGAGAGAGATCTTTGTGCAGGGGGTTGGTTTAGTTTCATGGGAGAGAGAAAGTGTTGGAGTGTTTTGGATGATTAAGTCAGAGAGAGCTCTATCTCCCTCTCCGTCCAAAGGACGAAAAATAAAATTGAATCATCTTGCAAGAAAAAAGCTTCCGACCCAGATTCCTAACTTCACAGTGTTTTACAACATTGAATAGGCTTTAGAGATGATTTTCAGGCAACTCTGATTCAGAAGATAAAGTGGGGAGGAATACATCCTAGAGCGAGGTCTTCAACAGGGGGTCCGCAACCTCTAGGGGGTCCAAGGAGCTACTGCACGGGGGTCGCAAAAGTTGATTAGACTATTTTTTATATTACCCCCTGCAATTTTTTCCACTAATTGAAATGTCTTTAAATCCACATTAACATGAATTGAAAACACTGTAGTAAACAGATAAATAGAGGCAGAAGATGTCTTTCAGTCATTAATGCACACATTCAGTGACACCCAGGAGCTTTTTCAAGCTGGGCACCGTTTCATTCACAACACCTGTCCCATCAACCAGGAATCAGAATCAGAAATACTTTAATAATCCCAGGGAGAAATTACTTTTGTTACATATGTCATAGACTCTATTACATTTGTAACATTAGTAATTTTCAAACTGGTCCTATAGTCACTCTATTAAATAGAGTGACTATAGGACCAGTTTGATATAACACAATTTTATACAATATATATAAAACTATGGGGTCCTTTGCCTGGAAAATGTTGAAGACCCCTGACCTAGAGCACAATAAATCATCTTCAGAATAAAACCCTGAAACTTTCCTTTCAAAAAATGACAAAATAACATGGTCCTCAGCTGCATGTGACCAACACGGCAGGCATTCAGAATAAAACATCA